CCAACCTTGGAGTGATAAGGCTGGAGAGTTGACTCTGCTGGTAAAAGCACTTGCCACCAAGCCTAACAACTTGAGTTTGATCCCTGGGATGAACCGGTTTGGAGAATTGACTCCTGCCGTTTGTCCCCTGACCACCACATGTGCCCACACAAACACAGGCAATAAATGTATTTTTTTCTTTTTTTATAACAAATGAGGCTCCCACTGGCCATGGTGATGTAAGTCTATAATCCCATCACTTGGAGAAGCTGAGAAAGGAGTGTTGCTTTAAATTCAAAGCCAGCCAGGGCTGCTGAATCTCAAAAAAGACAAGTCTTTTTCTGTGCTTGGGAGGTGGGGTCGGAAGAACCAGATGTTCAAGGTTATACTTTAGGTACGTGGTGAGTGCCGGGCCAGTCTGGGCTGTTAAGACCCTCAAAAACAAGAAAGGAAGATGGGCGGAAGCGGAAGGAGAAGGGGAAGGGAGGAGGACTTCCTGGGGAATAAGAAAGGGAGAAAGTACTTGTAGCCTAGAGTGCACACCTTTAATCCCAGCCCTGATCTCTGTGAGTGCGGGAGTGGGAGGGGGAGAGGGAAAAGGAAGGAAGGAAAGGGGAGGAGAGGGGGAGGAGGAAGGGAGGGATGAGGAGGAAGCACCCTGACAGATGAGTGGGTACACTTCTCAAGATGGAGAACCTATCTTAAGTCCTAAGTGCATTTAAGGGGCAGTGGACGGAGCCCTTACCTACAAGCCACCAGTGAGGGACTGAGGGTGGCTTAGCCATTGGATGTCTGTCTAGTATGCCAGGGCCACTGACCCAGCATCTGGAACTATGAAAAGCAATTCGGGCGTGTCGCACACCTGCAGTCATACAACACTGCAGTTTTAAAAGCAGGAGGATTAGAAGATTGAGATTCACGGACAGAGAAGATGGCTCAGGGAATAACTGTGCTTGCAGAGGAAGTCTGAATTCCAGCTCCAACCCAGCCTCTGCGGGGATGAGAACAGACACCAGGAAGTTGTCCTCTGACCTCCATATCAGTGTAGCACACACATGCCAACCAACCCCCTACTACTACATACACAGACACACACACCGGCAAAATAAAAAATTCAATATCATCTAACTACATGTATTATTTTTAAATTACATTTTAAGATTTAAGACCAGGCTGAGGTATGTCAGCCATTCTTTCTTCTCTCTCTCTCCCCTCCCCTCACCTCTTGTTTTTGTTTTCAAGACAAGGTCCTGATGAAACTCACTCTGTAGACCACACTGGTCTCCAATTCAGAGACCTGTCTGCCCCTGCTTCCTGAGTGCTGGTATTAAACGTGTGTGCCACCATTGCCCAGCTGAGCCCTTCCTTCAACTCTATACTAAAAGGAGAGACAGCTCAAAGGGTAAAGGTGCCTACCACAAACCTGACTGCCTGAGTTCTATCCCCAGAACCCACACTGAAAGGAGAAAACTGACTCCCAAAGGTAGTCTTCTGAGCTCCGCAGTGTGATTTGGTGGCCTGTCCCTTTATCTGCCGAATCATCTCTCTAGCCCATAGGCATGGGCAGGATGTCTTTCATCCAGAGCTTCCCTGTGACCCTGTTAGGCTAGTCTATCTAGCCAGCTTGCTCCAGGAATCCTATCTGTGCTTTCCAAGGTGCTGGAGTTGCAGGCAGGCTTCTGTGCACGTCATTTACATGGGGGTCCTAGTACCATTCCTGTGTGCGTGTGGCAAGTTCTTTAACTGCTGGGCAAGACCTCCAGGTAATTTTTTAAAAGCATTTTTGCATCATGATGATGTCAAAACCCCCCTTCCTTTTTGTCCTTCTATTTGAGGTCCTGGGGATGGAGGCAAAGCCCTTACAAATAACAGGCAAGCCCCCTACCACCGACTGTCACCGAGTACAGCTTGCACGTGTATAGTGTGCACTCATGAAGACAAAAAGTCTTTATCATGCCGGGCAGTGGTGGTGCACACCTTTAATCCCAGCACTTGGGAGGCAGAGGCAGGTGGATCTCTGAGTTCAAGGCTAGCCTGGTCTGCAGAGTGAGTTCCAGGACAGACAGGGCTACACAGAGAAACCCTGTCTTGGAAGAAAATGAAAATGTCTATATCTTGAGTGTTCCTCTGTTAACCTCTCTATTTTTCTTTTTATTATATTTAATTTGGGGGCAGGGTGTATATGGTGGTATGCCTGCACAGGTCAGTTTTCTCTGTCTATCATATGGACATGGGTACCAGGAATAGAACTCAGGTCCTTGGGCTCAGCAGCAAGATCCCCTACCCACTGAAAGCCATCTTTCTGGGCTATCTCTCCATGTAGTTTTCTGAAACAGGGTTTCTTGATGACCCTCAAGCTCACTAACTGGCTAGACTGGCTGGCCCTCAAGCTTCAGTAGTCCTCCTGTGTCTACCCCCAGCACTAGAATGACAACCGTGGAACCATTACATTTGGCCTTTTGCATGGAGCCTGGGAATCTGAGCTCAGACCCTTGTGTGTTCGTGGCGAGCACTGGACGGGTTTAGCTGCCTTCCCAGCATTAGTATTTTCTATTGCAATGGCTTCTTGACACACTACAGGTGCTCATTCACTCCTATTTCTGTCACTGTGCTGAGTGATTCCAGGTATCCGGCGGCGACCATGACACCTCAGGCCCTGCTACTATTGCTTGGACACACAGATGAGTCCTGGGGACAGTAGGCAGGGAAGGAATGGGTGGGGCTGGGGAACACGAGAAATAGGGCAGCCTGAAGCAGTCTGAGAGCATGGGCAGGTGCATCTTAGGGGAGCACCTGAGCTTCCGTGTCTCCCATCTAGGTCCTGAGGCTGTGGGGAAAGGATTTTTTTTTTTTTCAAGACAGAGTGTCTCTACCTTGCCCTGTCTGGCCTAGAGCTCACTATCCACCTGCCTTTGCCTCCTGAGGGTGGGGATTAAAGGTGTGTGTCACCATGCTGTCCTTTTAAACTTGAGACCCCTGCCCAGTTCTCCAGTTGCTTGGTCACCCTGATTTTTAGCCCTCAACCTTCCAACAGCTGAGAGTAAACTGAGGATTCATTTGATATGATTATCCATGTGCTGGGGGTTGAAACTAGTAGGATTCTAGACAAACCCTCAACCACTGAGCCTCATCCTCAGTCTTCTGTTTGGTCTTGCCATGTAGTCCAGGCTAGCCCAGACCTGTCTAATCATTTAGAGCACTAGGGTGGCAGATCTGAGCCACCACTCTTGGTACTGTAAGAATTTTTAAAAGACTAAATATTTCAAATTGTGTGTGTGTGTGTGTGTTCACTGGCCCTCACGCCTGCACATGCACACACTAGAGTGCAGTTTCCTGCGGTGACCAGAAGAGGGCACTGTATCGCCTGATGCTGGAGTTACAGGGGCTTGTGAGCCTCTTTTTTCCCTCTGTGTGCCAGGAACCGAACCCAGGTCTTCTGGAAGAGCAACAAACACTCTTAAATCTCTGAGCCATTTCTCCAGCCCCAGTGCTGGGATTACAGACATGACCCACCAGGCCCAGAACCCAGATGATCTACATAGTTACAGGTCAGCCAGGGTTACTTAGTGAAACCCTCAAAAAACAAAACGAAACATAATTATGTTATTTAACGTTCAGAATAACTCTTTGAGATGCAGATGAAGAACAGAGAGACCAAATACGTTTCCTAGTGTTACTCAGCCTTAAAGTAGCAGAAACTTACCACATCAAGGTTGGTTACTGCCCGACGATCATAAAAGATTATAAAAGACATTTTCACGCTATGTTTGTCTTTTTCTAACAGGCTCTCATATTAGTTAGACCATATTGGCCTCGAACTCACCGTGATCCTCTTGCCCTATCCTCCCTTACAGATCTTCTGAGCCTTTAAAGGAGTCAAAGGTCGGGCTGAGAAATGGGCTATATTTCACAAACGTTGCGACACACCGGGTGTAGTGACCCATGCTGGCCGCGTGAGGGGGCGCTAGCCCCTCTTGCCCAGTGAGGGGAGGCAGGATGCAGCCTTCGAAAGCAGGGAGCCTCAGATTCAGGACCACAGAACGTTGAGAACAGAGCATCTCAGAAGACTGAGAACAAAGCCTCTTAGAACCGGGAACAAAGGTCCCTGCGAGCTCAGCTCCACCGCACCTGGAAGACAAAAAAGACCTCAGATTCTCTTCTGGTCAAATCATAGAATATTTCACCCAGGATCTTGCAATTCCATAAATGTGCTGTTTTGATGAGACAGAAACTCTCTGTGTAATCCAGACTAGCTTGAAATTCACTACGTGGCTCAGGCTGGCCTTAAACTCTCGATTCTCCTCCTGGTTCAGCCTCCTCTGTGATGGAATTACAGAGCCGGTTTGAGCTGGTCCTGCTTAAAAGCATAATCGAACCGTAAGTTGTTCGGTCCGTTTTACTTCCGAGGGTCTGGGAAAGCTGCCTGGAGGAGGAGGCGAGATCCAGATTCGAGCCTCTCTGATGATCCTTCTGCGCAGACTCAGAAGCTGAACGTTTGGGAGGGGCGGCAAGAGCAGCTGCGGAGCTGTCACGTGGATCCAGTCTCTATTTATAGACCACCCTTCCCTCGACCTGGAGAGCCCAATGGCAGCCAGAGCTCGCCCGCAAGGGGGCGGGACCAGCTCCAGAACCAAGCGGCTAGCACCAATGGAATTGGAGCAAGGGCGGGCTTGTTTCATTGTGACATAAGGGGGCGTGGCTACAGCCCCAGGCGCCGCACAAAGGGGCGTGGCGAGTCTGATACCCGGTAGGTAGTCACGGGCGTGCGTTAAGAAGGAAAAACGGGGCGGGACGGATCCCTGCGTCACGAAAGGCAGCAGCCAATAGCAGGCCGTCGTCTTGCCTTCAGGGGCGTGATCATGCAGATGAGACGCGGGTGGGCGGCCCAATGGGCGGGCGCCTATGCAGATGAGACGGTGACAGCCCGGCCAGCGGGCGGGCGGGCTGCTGGGGCGGGGAGGTGGGACCGGCGAGAGGGGCGGCCGTGGGGCCCGGCCGGGCTGGGGCGGGGGGCCGCAGCCATGATCCGGGCCTTCTCGTTCCCGGTGAGCCCGGAGCGGGGTCGGCTGCGGGGATGGTTGGAAGGCAGCCTGGCCGGGCTCTGCGAGTTGCACTGGCTGCGAGAGAGGCAGGAGTACCGCGTGCAGCAGGCGCTGCGGCTGGCCCAGCCCGGGATGGGGGGCGCCGAGGCTGAGGACGAGGAGGACGCCGAGGAGGACGAGGATGCGGCAGCGGCGCGCAGGGCCGCGGCAGCCCTGGAGGAGCAGCTGGTGAGGGGTCGCCTGTCCGTGTGTCCATCCATGCATCCCTCCCTCCCCCATTCGTTCCCCCACCTCCCTGCTTGTGCGTCCGTCCGTCTGTCTTGGTAGTGTATGTTCAGCACACCGGTCCTAGGGTAGGAGAGCAGGCAGGGGGAAAAGACAAGAGAGAAGACTGGAGACCTGGCCTCCCCTACCCCCAAATAGAGCCGGATAGATAGGATGCACGGCCTCTGTTGGACTCAGTGTGGACCCTGTTAACCATCCTGGACACCTAGTGTGTTAAACCGAACATTCGGCTTCTTACAGTCTTCCCATCTCATGAGGCCTTGAAAGTCCCCATTTTACAGAGAGCGAAACTGAGGCTTAGAGACAGGAAGAGACTCACCCAAGGTCACACAGCCGGCATTCAAACATAACCTGCCTCTGGGCCTTGCTACCCGGGATCCATCTTTCCTTAAGTCTCCAGGGTGCTTGGAGATCCCTGGAGGGGGCGGGTTGGGGGAAGGGGAATCTTCAGGCCTCTGGAGAGAGAGACCCACTGCTGAGAAGCTTACAGTCCCTGAGGACCCCCCCCCCCGGGGCATTTTGATCAACCCAATGACACTTCTTACTCCTACTTGGTCCCATGGCTCAGTGATTGGGGAGGCCAGGTGGAAGTAGTTGGGGAGTGAGGGGAGAGAGAGTATGGTTCTCTGTGGTATTCTAACGATGACTTTCAAATTGAAAGGCCCCAGCTCTTCCTCCCTACATCACTCCTTGAGTTGGAGACCCTTTCCGGTTGCTGCCCCAACCTTTCCATACCACAGCATCTGTTTCATTTCCTTTACCCTGTCCCTGTCTCTGTGGTCTTCCAGACCTGTAAAGCTTCCAAAGCCAGGGGAGATTAGAGATGGGGTCGTGCTCTTGTCTCTAGGCCTCAGTGCTTCTCTGCCTAACGTCTGTCTCCATCTCTCTTCCCTTCCCCCAGCCCACTCCCCTGGCCCATCCCCATCCCCATCCCGGTCCCTAAGCCTCTATGTGTGTACATGTGTGTGGTCAGAGCTTCCCGTTTAGGGAAACCTGAGCCGAGGCTGTGGGGGTGGGGAGGGGGCTCTGGCTGTTGCTGACCTCGGCTGCCCCCTCCCCAGATGGGAAATGGGGAAAGGGGCTGAGGCCAGACGCCCAACCCCACCCCCAACCGGCCTGACCGTGCAGGGAGTGGGACCTTACACATTCTTCTCCAAGCAGAAACAGCTGTGGGAGGCCCCGCCCCCTCCAAAAGTTACAGAGGAGGGGAGGTATTCAGCAGCTTCCCCTGCCCTGCGCTGCCCGGGCTTTGCCAGACCCCTCCGTCCATCCCACTAAGAGAGGGTGGTGAGAAGGCACTATTGCAGACCTGTAGTGGTCTGGCCTCTTTCCTTCCTCACTCTCTGCCCCTCTTACTCAGTGCTTACCCCTCCTGGCTGGCATGAGGTGGTGATGGGAGAGAGGACCTGTCCCTCACACTCCGCCCCTTCCCCACTGTAAGCAGTCAAGGCTCAGCCCAGCCTCAAAGAGGAGGCGGTGGCAGACTGGGACAGGAGCCTGGCTGATGGAGGAGTAGAAAACCTCTAAATATAAACACCTCTGGTGTTGAGGGTTCCTGGGTCTGTATGAAGAGGAAGTTGGGTCACCCCTGATTCCAGAAAACCCTGTTATAAGACAACCTACATCTCCATCCATCCCTCAGAAACACACTCCCTACGAAGCAAAACGAAAAACAAACAAAAAAATCCCAAAAGTTAGACTTGGTGACTCTGCGAGGCATGACGTGGGCATGTCACGTTCAGAGTGGCGGTATTGCAGAGAGAGAGGTGTGGATATTGTGTATAGAGGGGTCCTGTTTGCTCCGAGGAAGGAAAAAGATCCCTTCCAGCAAGGAGGACTTGGGTTAGACTTGCAGAAGGACTTCTTAACATGGATGAAAGGGCACTGGAATGTAAGGAGAGGAAAAAAGATACAGGAAACTGGGCAAAGGAGCCTCCAGAGACATCAGGTATTTAGAGATGAACTCAGGCTGTCTGTTCCCCAACTCTTGACTCCTCCCCCTGGTGGAAAAACTGAAATGACAGTTGTGGAATCCATCATGCCTCAAAAAGTCCATCGTTTTACATGTATTTTCATTATGCAAGCAGTATTAGAAATTATCCCTTGTGAGATACTTTCTTGTAATAGTGTAAACTGGCCTTGATGAAGTGCTGTAAAAGAAACTGCTCTTTCAACTCCTTTTAGCTTCTCCTGGGAGCTTATGAGAAACCACGTTGTGTGATGCCATATTGCAGATAAGGAGAGGAAAGCCCAGAGAGGTCAAGACACCCACCTAAGGTCTTACAGCCGGGCAGTGGAAGAGATGATTTAACACTGGGTGGCAAGTCTCACTTTAAATATTCATTGGTCCGCACAGTTCACCTCGTCTTCCACTTGATTCTCTATGCTGAAAAGGCCACTACCATTTGGCTTGGCTTGAGTCTGTTCTGACTTTTTCTAACATATCTACTCTTAAAAACAGTTTGCACACCAGGAAAGAAATGGAGACTACTCAACAGAGCTTTGCTTTTCTATTTACAATCCAGGGGATGGAACTAAGGGTAAGGAGCAGGATAGGCAAGTGCTGTAGCATTCAGCCACGCCCCCAGCCCCTCACTGGGGGATCCTAGGCAGGGCTCTACCACTGAGCCACGCCCCCAGCCCCTCACTGGGGGATTCTAGGCAGGGGCTCTACCACTGAGCCACGCCCCCAGCCCCTCACTGGGGGATTCTAGGCAGGGGCTCTACCACTGAGCCACGCCCCCAGCCCCTCACTGGGGGATTTTAGGCAGGGGCTCTACCTCCTCCATTTCTGTTTTTAGTTTAGTTTTAGTTTGGTTCAGTTTTTGAGACAAGGTCTCAGTGTGTAACCCTTGGCTGGCCCTGAAGTCACAGGGTTCACCTGCTTCTGCTGTTTTGTCTGGCCCTATTCTTCTTCTTTTTTTTTTTTTTTTTTTTTTTGGTTTTTGGTTTTGGGTTTCTCTGAGTAGCCCCGGCTGTCCTGGAACTCACTCTGTAGACCAGGCTAGCCTCGAACTCTCAAACTCAGAAATCCGCCTGCCTCTGCCTCCCAAGTGCTGGGATTAAAGGCATGCGCCACCACTGCCCGGCCCTATTCTTCTTTTTGAGACTGGATTTCTCTGATTCCTAGACAGGCTTTGAACTTTGCATACTCCTGTCTGCTTCCTAGAGCACTGAAGAATCTCAGACCCCACCCCTGACCTGTTCAAAGGTTTTGCTGTTTTAGAAAAGTCCAATTTCTTGGGTTAGGTTCCAAGGCTTTGCCCATGGTCCTTGAAATGTGACCCCCTCCAGCCAGAAGTGACACAAGGTGTGGAAATGGTATGTCCAGAAGCTCACAAGCTGGGACTCAGTGACTTTGGATTTTGAAGATCCTCCATGTTTGGTTCCTACCATTGCCAGTTCCCATCAGCAGTGCATGCATATAGAATGATACCCCCACCCCCGCCATTAGATTGTCACCACTGGGTCTGCACTCAGGCCCTCCAGAGGTGAAGGCAGAAAGATTGAAAGTAAATTTTGTTTATTTGTTGACCTTCATCCTTGGCTACATAGGAAGTCCAAGGTCATCTTTGGCTATCTGAGACTGTCTCCAGACCCAAAAAGGATGACGGCACTGTAGCTATCTTCACTTAAGTGAAGTCTGCTATGCCCCCATCATGATGAAGTTACAAGATGACACATTTCTAAGAGTGTGTCCCTATGACTGTGATTCTGGCTTCCTCTCTCCCCTGCCTGTTCCTTTTCTGCTTAGTACTGTATCACAAGAAAAAAAAATCTGCCCTCTTAACGGCTGTATAGTATTCCACCACAAACATTCTGGCATTCATTCGTCAGACATTTCCTAAGCCAAAGGGAGGAGAGTCCCATTGTGAACAAAAGACCTGTGTCCTAGTGAGAAATCACTTCCTATTGAGAGACACGATAAACACGTGACACTCTGATATATGTGTGCATGTGAGTGTGTGAGCGTGTGCATGGGGAAGCAGGAGAAAAGACAGAGCAACAGGGTGCAAAATGGCAAAGGGGCTAGTTTTCAAAGGTGGAGGATGGGAGATCACATTAGAAAAGCCCAAGCAGGGTCGGGGTGGGGTGGGGGCAGAAGCCCAGAGCTCATGCAGCACACACAGTGCGGTGGTAGCCAGAGGGCCAGGCAGCAGACCAGTGTGGTCCACTTGGAACGTGACACAGGTAATTGACAGCAGCCTGCAGCGTTTTGTATTTTTTTCTCAGATGCCTCCTGATACTATATGCACGGACTTTTCTTTTTCTTTTAAATTAAGGTTGACTGATTAGGCCATGGGCATCTGAACACACCCAGAGTGGGGGACATTTGTTGTCCATCATTGCACAGACAGGGCCACATGGGGCTTCTGTTCCCAAGGGGAAGAGGCCAGTCCTGGAGGAGATGAGGGCTGGGGGGTGGGGGAGGACTGTGGCTGCCGCCTAGAGCTAGGCCAGTCTTTCTGCCCTAAATAGGCAGGGCTGGGTGCTGGTCCCGCCCTCCCGCCAGCATCCAGACAAGCGGCTTTTGTCTGAGGGTCAACCGTCTGCCCCTGGCAGCCGCTACCTCTGGTCTCACTGAGTCCCCTGTGAGACATTCCCTGGCCCTGCCTCTGTGGCTTCCAAAATAAGATAAAATCCTAGATTTTTTTTTTTTTTTTAATCACAGAGACCGTGTCTTGTTGACCAGGCTGCCCCCAGACTCAGTAGATAGGCAAGGATGGCTTTGAACTCCTTATCTTCTTGCCTCTACCTCCCTGGTCAGTGCTAGGACTACAGGTCTTTTATACCAACCATACTGGGGACTAAACTCAGAGTTTCCTGATAGGTGATCACTCTTCCGGCTTAGATCCACCCCCAACCCCAGTCCTGAGCATCTTGGTTTATGATGACATACTGAGGCCATCCAGATGGCTAGGTTTACAGAGGGACTTGCAGAA